AGTTTCTCTGAGTGGACTGTCGATATATGGATGATACATTTATCCTTTATAACGAGCGTACGGACTTGATAAGAGCACTCGAGCAATTCAATACAGCTCACCCGTCCATAAAATTCACATGTGAAAAAGAAAATGGGGGTAAAATAGCCTTCCTAGATGTTCTGCTTACAAGGAGAAAAGATGGATCGCTAAAAAGAAACATAAACAGGAAAATGACCTGGACGGGTCAATATACTAACTTTTTCAGTTTCGTTCCTCTACAACAAAAAAGGAACCTTATCAAGACACTACATCATAGAATCAAGACTATATGCACTGTGGATACGATTGAAGATGAAACAAAGAGATTGTTTACAACCCTGAAAGAAAATGGATATCCAGAGAAATTTATAAATAAAAACTTAGCCAATAAAAGACAGCGTAGAGAATGTCCAACAGTAAATAGAAAGCCTCTATATATACGCTTACAATTCAGAGGAGACGCGCCGAGTGAAATGTTAAGACTTAAGTTAGGTAGATCAATTCAAAGGACTTTCAACGCAGCCAAACTACAACTAGTATTCTCCACACGACCAATAATCACTCCGAGGTTGAAAGATAAATTACCTAGACTAGCCACCTCCTTCTGTATCTATCAATTCAACTGCTCCTGTGGAGCAAGTTATATCGGCAGATGTTCTAGGAATTTGTACATTCGGGCTCGTGAGCACCTACCCGTGTGGTTAAGCAAAGGTGTTGTCAAAACTGTTAACAGCTCCATCTTAGACCATTTAGTCCAAACAGGACATACAGCCAACATGGAGCAATCTTTTGCAATAATCTATCGTGTCAACAGCAGTCTACCTAATTCCGTCAGACTGCGAATCCTACAGACGGCTGAAGCAATTGCTATTCGGATCAAAAAGCCAGAGCTTTGTATCCAAAAGAAGTATGTTCAGCCTCTCCTTTTACCCTGGCCAACTAGCTAATAATCAATCTTATAATGTGGTGACATAATCTGATTAATGTTCATTTTATGTCCCAAACTTATTATTATTATTATTATTATTATTATTATTATTATTACTATTATTGTCTTTACACTTGATAAACCCTTTTTGAGGAATTTATTTAATATCCACCCCTGAACCTACTATATTTGACCTGATTATTTTACATATTACGCAATTTCCGATTTGTAATCACAATATTCTCTCTCTCTCTCTCTCTTACCCCATGTTGACCATATTTATTCTGATAATTTATCTCACAATTTCATTTTGCTTATAAACCGTTTCAAGTTAACACTTCATATTAGTCAGCCCCAACATTAACGATTTTATTTTTATATAACAAACAATTCCTGATTCACATATTACCATTTCCAAATGATGATGTATTTTGCCTTAAATCTGGCCAATTTTATGGATTATTAATCTGGATTTATAATTGTAGAACCTGATGAGAAATTATTGAAAAGAATATTCTTCATTCATACAATTCATCGATACCTTTTTCTTAATGTTAAACACATTCTGTTTATAACACTGTGTAAGTTTTTCAAAAGTAGCAAAGTACACTCTACTACCTTGACAGAGTAAGAAAGAATGAATAATGATATGACCTTGACGCCAGATAATTTGGATTAAAAGTCACGTTATAGCGAACTGGTAAGAGAATGACTACTAACATGAAAGAATAAATATTCACCTTCTCCTAGTTCACAGACGTAGAAATAACAACATCGATAAATTTTTCAGGTTCTGACCGACAGTTTGTACATACCATTTGAATGTGCACATCAGCATAATTAATCTGTTTGATGTGCCTTTAAGTAATATCAAATAGTAACATAGCTACCAAGGCCACACACGACGATGTCCACAATGCGTCACCAAGATACAGGAAATGTTAATTGGTCAGGTATAATTTCTAAGGTTCGACTGTATATCGTAAATTTTATGACGAATTTAGAAGAATGTTTGGACAGAGGAAGTACAGTCTTAAAAGATCTTTTGAATTGTGTGATCCAGTATTATGGAGGAGATTCAAAAGTATTTACTTTCCACTGTGATTGCTAACATCATGGAAGAGGTATTATAAAAGGTATTATAAAAGATTTAGGAAGAACTCTTAGGCAAAGGCGTGTTGGCAAGTTTTTAAACATCCATAACATAAAAATCAACATTCCGGGTAGTCCGAGATGATTCTCGTAGGAAATGAACGTATGCAGATTGATTCTTAAACAGATGAACTACGTTTCTGATTTGAGTTTTACTATAACTGTTGAGACTGTGGAATTACCTAAGCAAGTCGAGAGAATTTTTTCTAACCTGGTGAATAAGTAAAGTCTGGTATAGGTAGATATGGGCTATTTGTTAGTGAGAGTAACGTGACGCGGACATAGAAAATGGGTCCTACAAGTAATATTAGTGAATTCAGTACTATATGAGTGAAATTAATTACAGGTTGCAGTGTAACAAGATTAGCTCCTGCAAGTACTAGTAACGGCAATCTCGCGTTACTTGACGGATTTAGTTACCTTGGTTTTAAATGTTTGACGTGCTCTTGAAACAGTTTTCTTGATCAATGCTACGAGTTTCAGGTTATTTTTATTTAAAAGTGAATCATCCGGACTGAAATTGTTGGCAACCGAGAGCATACTCGGCCTAAGTTCCGACTATGGACACCATGCTTTACTTCACATGGGGCTTGAGGAACGGATTTGTCTCACTGATAATGTTCAGATCAGTAAATGTTACTGTTATGAAGAGGAAGATGGTGATGGGCTTGCAAAATACGCACAGAAATCAGTTGCACTGGCAACAGTACAATTAATATTAAAGCATAACAATAAAATCATTCACACTCATGTCTCCTTAAAGCGTGACGCGGACACTTTACATTTTACAGAAGACTTACATGCGAACTAGAATCATCAGCATCATGATTGGACTTGATAGTTTTCAATGAAGTGGACATTGGGTAAAAAGTTAATGAGAAATATATTTTTGAGATATCCTAGTAGGAAATTGTATTTCTAGCTTTGACACAAACTCATATTTGATCATCCTTTACAACTGATTACGACTTTCATAGCGTCGTCTCAAACTACTACTGCATAGACTTTTGTAGTAATATTATTGTTTACTTTAAATCCTATTTCATAAATATACATATCTTCAAACGAGTGCACTAAAAATTGACGTTTTACTTAAAAGGTAGATACTCAATTTATTTCTATTACTATGGTTGGCTCCCTAACACATTATTTTTTATCTCTTTCAACTCTACATAAATTTTATTCTTAAACATCCACTAATTATAATTAGGACATAATATCTTGTATTACATCGAAATAAATTAACTATTAGATTTTAGTGGCCCGTGGATCTGACTCCTATTTAGATCGTATGGATGTTTGCTATCGCTAATTCTCGTATTATCATCGTCGACTTAAATCGCGTTAGTCAATAACGGAATTAAATAAGTCAAATAACGAGAATTGACCTGTGCATACATATCTTGTGTATATGAAGCGAATGAAACAGAGCAAAGTAAAATGACATGCAGGGAAGATGGCTGGGAAGCCAACTCCATTTTAGTCAAGCGTTACTCAATATTTATAGTCAGACAAAATAAAGCTACAGACATGTGACTAATGGAATAAGAAGGGCACATACATATACGCTCACATAAAAACAATCAAGACTGACAAGCGAATAATTGACAAGGTCAACATATGACTCAAGTAGAATGAATAGATGGAATGTCCGAAAGCTAGAGTAAGGCATATGGGCTTAAAATAATGACTGACACTACAAGATTCATTTCGTCTTCACTAAGTATATATGACACAAACAAACTTGAGAATGTCACAGGTACTTCTAGTTTGACAACGCTCAAACCAGAAATACCTCCCAGAATTTAATCGTGCCCACCTAGTGAAATCGAAAGTTAGAAGCGAGGAGGTTCTAAGATATATTTGATAGGCTATCAATATATCAAGGTGACTGACCTAAACTGGCTAAAGGTTGTAGGAGAAGTTCAGCGCGGCGTTCCCACTCGTGACCTTGCATAGAAGGGCCTTCAGCTGGGTGAGTCCATTAAAATAAATGCAGTCAGCGTCCAATATCGAACACTTACAGAGCTATTGACTTTGGGTATTTGTTCACCACTACAAAATGATGATGATTACTCTTCACATAAACTAATATCTTTACTGCATCATTCTAAACAATAACTGCGCAAACTCTTATTCTACAACCAAGTTTTGCTGCACCGATGACTTGTTTTCTGGTTTATTTGTTTATCTAGCTATTTATGTTGTAATAAATATCTTACCGTTCATTACCACTCTGTTTTCACAACCATGCTCGATTCGAGTGCGAATCATGTATGAAGTTGATAGTTTTCCAATCGTCTGTGACACGTCGTCACATCTTGAGCGGTAATTATATGACTGTGTCAATTAATTACTTATGTCCGTTGACCGTCGACGCTTGATTGTAAGAAATGTTAGGTGTGTGTTCACGTGGTAGACTGTATTTGGTAATCACGGGTTAAATTGTTCAAATATTTTCGGATTATGACATGATAAGTAATTGTGACACGAAATTAAGCTGACGTATTTGTTAGAAAAGAAGTAATTATATGCAAGAGGTGGAAAGTCTCACAAAGTGCAGATATGTACAGACGAAAACCATCACAAAAGTGACATCTTTTTATACTTTGGATGAAATTGGTTTATTCGGAAGAAACAGAAGTCATGACACATAATTAATGATTGAAAGCCATTGCAGAAAAACAGCACCGTCATACTTTAGATAGCGCCTTAATCATTTGAGGCAAACTTTGAATCATACAGAAGTACATGGGAAAAATAGGAACACAGAGATTTGGCCATCTGATGTCGAAGCGTATTATTATGACCAATTCGCTGCCAAGGCCATTTGACCATCAACGTCTTAAGGTCAGTTTGGAGAGCGATTTTCGAAGTTCCGTCAATTACCTTCAAATGTATGGAGATTGATAATCAAAAGGCCGAGCAGGACAACGAGGTTTCATCAGAACTATCTAATACCGGTGAATTTTTTTCACGACAAGACATTAGTGATAGAAAAGATGAGGACGAAGAAGAAGAGGAGGAGGAAGAGGAAGATAAAATTGTGGAGAAGTCACACAACAGCCGTTTCCATAAAAGAAATAAACGATTCCCAAAACAAATCGAAGGGGTTGACAATGCGTTCGTCGCAATAGAACCAAAATCTGGCAAGGAAGTCATATGGAACGAATGTATTCTACCTGAGAAGAAAACTGACAAAGAAGTAGTTATCGTTGATCAGTATTAATCTTAGATACTAGAATAGATACCTTTCTTTGATCAAAAAGCTGAAGAAAAACTCCCATCCCTTTCTCGTGCGTTTTCTAGACGCCTGGGTATCAAAGACAGAAGAAGGACCGCGCAAGCTGGTCTTCATCACTGAGCGTCTCGATGAGTGTACATTAAAACAGTTTTTGTGCAATTCTGCGAAAAATAACCGCGTTAGTATAATAACTGCTTTTATGATCTTTGTAGTTATGGAACAGACACGTTGGTCAGCTCCTCTCTGTTCTGATGTTTCTCCACCGCCTTGGTGTTGCTCATGGTAATCTGACTAAGGAGTCAATATACTATCAAACTCGGGAAACCTGAGAGTCGGATTGTGTAAGCCTTAATCCTTCATTAACTATTTGTGTTTAGTTGCTCTTGGTAAATGTCTAGACCAAAAGTCTGAGGCTTTCGATGTATATTCTCTTGGTGTTGTCTCTCTGGAGGTAGACAAGAATTTAGGTCATGTTTTTTAAAATAACTTTAGATTGCTGTGTGGACACCCACTGAATTTCCACCAAATTTGGACTTAACTGAGAGATGTCAACAAATGATTTCGCGATTGGACAACAATAATCAAAAAAGCTTCATTGAGGCGTGCTTCGATACTGGGTCCACAACAAAATGTCTCATCAAGCGATTGCTTAACCATCCTGCTGTTACAGAAGTGCCAATTTTGAAGCTGCTATCGGCCAGAATGATTGTTAACTCAAGTAGGGTTTGGTCTTACTATGTTGATGTATTACATTATGCTGTCAATTTGTACTATCGAACCCTGATACATTTTCGATTGTTACATATCATAACATTCTTATCTGTTAAGTATTTTTTTTTGCCTGCTATACCTCATTAGTTTCAGTTATCTCATCGTCTGTATCATGCATAGTTCAGCAGAAGGCTGATTCGTGAGTTTGTGAATAAACCCCAACGTAATATATGTTGGTTAGACAGTTTTGTATAGGGTAACATACGTAGTTTGTGTTTTTAAGATCCCTGACTTGTCATTTCGAATTCTAATATACTTCGCTTATTTCTACACTAAGTGTATAGTTTGGAAGACTGTCCATATGCAATTAATGTCTGAAAAAATAGGCCCGCAGAATGAAAAGCATAAAATAAGTTTGAAACTCGGGAACCGGTTGTAGATAAAGAGTGCATATGTGCCATTGTGACCAGTTCTTAGTCTTGCCACCGAACGTCTCCAACTATTGTGTACTAAGTCATATTTAAGTCAAGTTTGTCAAAGGTATAGTGAGTCAACAAGAGATTCGTCAGATGAAACTAGCTAATAGTTTTCTGAATAAATAAATGTGGCATAACCGTACAATGCTACCAGCAATAATAATATTTTAGATTACTGCTCGAACAACATGTTTTCTTTGTCAAAACTACACCTAATTGATCATGCAGACCACAAGAACCCAGGGTTGTTGCAAACTATGTAAGATGTCTAAAGTCGATCATTTCTGTGATTCTACCCAGGGATTTGTGGGCCAATACATCTATTCTCTGCCCCTCAGTGGTATCATAAACGATAACCTGCCCATTTTTATAATTTTATTAGACAACATCACTTGGTGTAAGAGTTGCTAGGACATCATTTTTAAAATATAACCATACCACTGTAAACGGTGCTTGAGGATGTGGTTATTGACTGAATGGCCTCAACTGTTCAAACGCACTTTTCAATAGCTCGCTATCACTCCCACGCTGTTTCCACCCAACACAAAACTATTCTTATATTCCCGTTTCAGAAAGGAAAATGTTTACGAGCTTAAAGAACTACTATATTTTACCCTGTTCTCATAGATCCTTCGAAAAATCAAGAACATTCCTTACTATCAGTTCTCATTTTATTGTTTTCACAACTAAATTTGAACAACTCTAATTCGCTGAGTATGTACCTACAGAGAAATTGAGAAACAAGATATGCATCGTGGTGAACGATGATAATATATGATAGTCTAATTAACCATCTATCTACCGTTTTATCATTTGGTTTTCATTTATTTTAACTAAGGTCGGAATACCATTGGCCGGTAAGCTTAGTAAGAAACAGTTTGCCGTGAAACAAAAGGCCAACTGAGATTCAGTTAGCAATCAGATCTGGTTGGTAACATCATAGCTGCAACAGCTGCTATAGTTTAGGTACAGTCTCAGTCACTGTCCCAGTGAAATCAAAATATTACCCAAGTTTCCGTTTTCAGTTGAAATGAGATATCTCAGTTTTTAATTTCCAGGACATATACCATCGCGGAATTACCTCTGACTTATTTGTTATACATTGGTAGATAGTATTTCATAGTTGTTTTGGGTGCTCAGTATATCCTTCTTAGGTTGTTTATATAGAATGGTTTGTAATGAAACACTATGTTGTTGATCCATGTAGATATTTCCGTTGTTGCTTATCATTTCACAATAATACTAAAACTGTATAGCATATGGTTTGTTTAGAAGGCACTTATTTCACAAAAGAAAAAGATAATACATGAATGTTTATACCAAAGCAAGTTAGATATTAGCAGTAAACTTCCTTAATTGTGTGTAAATATTGAGCCAGTCGGTAAATTACTGTGTATTTATCTGTGTATCCATTTGTTCAAAGTGATTTCCGTTTCTAATGAGGATGGCGGTACGAATGAACCGACAGGGTTTGTCAGTCTATTAAAGGACTATCTCAATCGTTACGAGGACGAAACTGTTATTATGGAAGTTCATTTTCCACATGACGATGTGGTCAAGTCTAAGTCATGGAAGGATTTTCGATCAAACTTTACTCTTACCTCCAAATACCTTGAAGACGTCAAGTAAGCTTTCTGTATTCTTTCCACTAATAGTTTTCCTCACAACCGCTGCTTACTTGTCCTGCTTGAGCTTCCAAATTTGAAATATGGTGGTATTTAGTTGATTACTTAACTATCATTGTTACTTCATTTCGAAAACTGTCAATCTCTACAGGTATCTGTAATTCAGGTCACACCTATCATGTTTTTTATAAGCAGAGACTCTATGAAGAGATCAAAGAACAGTTACAAGAACTGCTTAGCTGTGAACATCTGAAACGTTCATTGCTGGGGACTACTACTACTGAACACTGTCATAAAGTACCATAGTGATTATTGCTAGACTGCATACTAAACTAAAAATGCTGGATTTACCGGCCTCAGTCTAAGAATCTTTACTAAAAAACCAGCTTTCAGTTTATACTCATTATATTCAAGTTTAATGAAATGGTGAAAGTTTTTACTAAAAAAGGAGAGTAGAGTTTTGTTCAGCGCATTTATTAAGTAGCAAAAGAGTAGTAAACACTTCTCAGCTAAAGTATTTATTGAGGATTCCCCGGTTAATAGTGGATGCATTCTATAATATTGAGCCAAATGACATTGAAAGTATTTATCAAAACTCGTGTTGATGTCTACTGCTAGGATTTAATAGAAAAGCAGTATGATAATCTGACATGATAATGTACCACTAAAAGCTAGAAAAAGCGATCAGCTGTTTTGTCCTTAACAGTTTGTTATTCGTCTCCTATATGAAATTAGTCTCACCACTTCTCCAAAGTATAACCACTTATAGCTCACTTTATTTTCCTCAAAACCGTTTATCAACAAGTTTCCCCGTGACTCATATTTTCATATCGTATATTTTATTCTCTATTTTTGTACTAACAATGTTAGAAATGGATTCTATCCGTTATTCGGATGCCACTGGGATGCTTATCAAGGAGAAGAGGAAGATAGTACATTTCCCAATTATTCAGGAGTCTCAGGGTTCCCTCCTAGTAACGGCCTTACAAGTAATCTGTCAAATGCAAGTGGTACTGTCAAGAACGATCCATCTGCTTCTGTTGGAAATTCTTCTTGTACATCAGCTACTCCAAGTGCTTGTGCTTCGTGTAAAAACTCTACTTCATCAAAGATTACAGATTTAGCTATTGGCTCACAGTTGGCTCCAGAGGATCTGGTTGTTATGCAATCTGAAGATGCCGCAAAAGGTTTGATGGTTATTTTGTCTGCTTTGTTTGTTGAGTTGGTGATACTTATAGAGCTTTCTATATAAGTATTATCTACATATACATGCATGGGATATTTTTATTTGAAAAGTTTTCTAATAGCTTCTTTGTTATGTTGAATATATCAGTAATAATAATGCGTATATTTCACCATAACGTGATATTTCACTTCATATTTATCAATAGTGACCTATAATATATTCTTAATCCTATAAACATTGTTTGCCGCTTCGTTTTAGGTTGCTTTTCCTCCAATGCATATGCATCCCAAGTAAATCTAACTAACCATATGTCACAAATCGATTCTAGTTGTTCATCTAAGGTGATTGATAATGACTTAAAAAAGAATGATTGTTCAACTTCAGTTGGTGAGGTAATCGGTGTAGCTTTTATTCCAAAGACTGATGAAGATATTCACCCTTTGTCTAAGGCAGCGCCTTCAGTGAATGCACCCCGATCATTGGAATTGGTCACGCAGATCTTAAATTTCCTGACAAACCTTATGGTAAGAATATTTTAGTTTCCTTGTTTACACCCTGTTTGAATACCATGAATTTTTCTTAGGATTTTAATTACAAATGGAAGCATTCTTTGCAGAATAGTCACTACTGTGCGGATGTTCCGATGTCTTGCGTCTACTGAGGATTATTTGTGTGAAAAATTATTAGATATGAAATAATAAACATATGAAAACCTCCAACCCTCACAAATAGCGATCTCAGAGCATTCTATCTCGTAAACTTAGCTACTACACTTACATGGTGCTAGACCTTATCTATTATGGTAACAACCATTTGGTATATGTTTGTTGAAACTTGTTATCTGAAACACTTCCATGCTAGCCAGGTTAGTTAAAAATGTTTAATTAATATATTATTACACTCAACGTATCTGAGGTCGTGAGTAAACGTATCTTCTGAATGTTGATATTTATTAATATGATGCTTCTTGAGGATAATCAGCATATCCATTGATGGTGTTTTCCACAAAAAAAAGTAACCACCTTCAGAATAACACCCCCTTTGTTTTAGGGACTTTCCGTACTTCAGGTCGGAAAACTGAAAATGTTCTTCGAATAAATAAGAACAATTTTCTCGAAAACCATGTATAAATGACCTTAAACAGTTGTCTCTTGGGCTGCCTAGTTACACTTCCAAACATAAAAACATAAGTAGTAATCTGGTTAGTATCTCAGGATTTTTAGAGGAAGTGTCATCACATAGTGTAGGCAAACAAGAAATGTCGATTGATCTCTTGCTTTCAGAAGGAACTGGGCCCACCCGTCTCACCACTAGTACCACGTGTTATCATTATCTTATAACCTCAATCCTCTGTAATCGTTATTTTCCGAAACTCACTGTCAAATATAGCAGCCGTAATAATTTTTCATTAACAACGCCTCTAGACATCAGTTATCTGTATAATAGTTCCAAATGCTTTGGTATCTTTCTCAGTAGTTTTGTTGAAAGTTGCATCCTATCTTAACGGTCTTTATTTTAATCTATTTAAACCGATGTAAATTGGTACAAAGAGTACCCAAGTATGCGCTATACAAGTTGTCATTAAATTTGTGTATGAGCTGGGATATTGTACGGGTACCCAAACCTATGCATTTTATTTTCTTAAAGTGCCACTTTCTGAGCCTTTGATTTGGAGGTCTAACTCACAGGTCAGTGGAACAACATTTGGAGATGAGGTCGTATGTTAGCCGGTGTCCAAGAATACGTTCGTACCTCATTTGTCTCCTCAGGATCCTGAAGCCCATGTCCCCTTTTGTTTGGAATCAGGGTTTTCCAACTCTCATTGATGGATCCGTGTCCGTATTAAAGTAATTTCTCCTCTCGGTCTCTGGCTTCGCTAGACAGACCACTTCAAATGACAATTAAACTGTTACCCCAGCAACGTCGATCATGCTGTAATGTGCTTGATTTATTTCTGAGTCTCACAATTCCTCTTCAGTTTCACTATCGATAACGTCCTAGAAACAGCCTTAGATGGAGAACTCAGTAGTATGTGTTGCTAGGATAAGGACTTTTTGACTTCAATTATACGCATAACGTCGTCGTATTGTGCGATAATATACATGGTGTACAAATCCCAATCAGCTAGCAGTTAGTGTCATTAAGTATAGATTGTACTTTGCACCTAAATGCAAGGTGCTTTCAAATGATTAGAAGGAGCTTGCGCTTTCATTCACCGTTTTGGTGAAACATTGGAAGTAGTCTGAAAGTTCACATATCTGGATAGTTGTGTAAGTGAATTATGAGATCGATCTGTATGTAAGGAAAACTACAGTGATGTATGACACTGGATTATTTTTGGCGCTATAGTGGTGTTAGTGTGTCCGTAGGATGTTGAATTTACGTGTCTGTGAGGGCACATTTGCACCGTACTTGTGAAACCAGGCCTCTTCGGGTTGGGAATGTTCGGTGACTATTCGGTCACTGTTGCTTCTCAAGGATCGCTCACACTCAGTAGCGAAATCATGCTCTGATGAAATACCATTCTTGTTTGTCTCTCTTATTACTTCTTTCCTTCACAATAACATTTCATCTTTGTGTTGCATTCTGTTTTTGGTCCCCACTATACTAAAATCCGTTATAAATAAAATAAATATATGGTGTCAATCATGTTATTCAGTAGAGTAACGAGTTTTCCAGCCATATTCTCACATCTTGACCTCAAGTTATTGCGCTGTTGTGTATTGTTTGAAACATAAGGATGGTGCACTTTCAAATACTTTTTTGGTGTCTTTTTCACGTGTCGGGTGTAAAAGGAGGTATGTAGTTCAGTTAGTGAGAAAGGCTTTAGTACTTATCGGATCGATGGTAATGATCGCGTATGTTCACAATGATATCTGAGTGGCCACTAACGATTGTTTTATGTAGTACGACTGGACATTTCGTTATCCTCATTCTGTTTTCAAAATCATATGACTGCCTTATATTATGCACTTTGAACATTGAGAGCATACACCTACATTAGTCTGAATAGCTATAGATTAGGACACTCTTGTGACAATTAAATGTATCATTTTGTTCCTACTAGTTGTTTTATGCCTATTCATATGATCAATTATGAGCTTTTGTCGACGCACAATTTCCATATGTGTGATTGTATGTTTGTTTATCCTACTTATCAGCTATTTACTCTGCATAAACTCAACAATTTACGCAGTGTTTTCCACATCAATCCACACACCATACAACGTAATCCATATACTACATAATTCATGCTCGTGAACCTCATACATCATACGTTTGGCTTATTGAGTCGGAGTGTCTGAAATACCGCTATCCCAAGAACACTTTGTGTCAGGCTTCTTGATATCAAATTACCAGGTTTAGGTGATTACACAATAGGATCGGTCTAGGAAATATACAAAGTTAATGGGAACCTGGAACAACTGAATTCAGATTTACTTACTAAAAACTGAAGCACTTGTTAAGTGGTAGAGAAGCTGAATGGTTGGTTGTTTTATTTTCAAAGAAGATTTGAACCATTCACTCGGTAAATACGAAAATGTCTGCTTGGCTAAGCCAGTTTCAGGGTGATATGTCCCGACAAGAATTACGAATGGTAACTGTTGGGGTCTGTTTATGGACTAATACTATAAATATATTTTTACTGTATAATTGTTAAGTAACTAAACTATGTACATTCATATTCCTCTTATTATAAGCTTTATTTCGACCTATAGACTGTTATTATCTGATTTGCCATTCTTAAGTTGTGCCTAGTTTATTAATTACCGTCTTCCACAACCACAGCCACTTTTGTCTAGATCTTGTACAAATGTTATTTTCTATTTTATGTTGTGATGTTGTCTGTTTGGCTCGTATATAAGCCCAGTATGTTTGAAATATATTATTCGTATAGCGGAGGTTGAAATTGGTGTTCTGAACTCAACAGGCAGGGCTAGACAGGAAGAAGAATCGATAAGGACTCTGGACTGCCCGTATGGGTTTATGCGTCATTGGTTCGGTCGATAAGTCACTATTCTCTAAATAGCGGTATCATTATGTTATATATTACGAGGGCAGAAGGCCACAAGTTATAACACATGGAACATTTTGACACCTGTCATTCTAGAACTGACTAAAATAGTTAAAATCTTGATAGAGCATGGGAAAAATATAGTATTTCGGATAATTTATTACGTTACATAGTAGTGTGAAATTATTATTGTTTCCTAAGTATCCCAAGATATACTACTTACTTTTATTTTTCTTTTTTTTATACCAGCTTCAACTTTGGACTATGTAGATGAAAGTGTAAGTTCCAAGTCGTATTTTCTAATTTTCCCTCTTGATTTATTCTAAACTTTCATATATATTCACCTACCGTTTTTGTTGGGTTTCGTACACATCTATTTGGATGTAAGTCATTTACTTGGTATATAAGTTTATGAACTAGTCTTTAAGGGGCATTTCATTTGCTTAAGGAGCATTAATGGTACCTGACTGCTTTAAGCCTAAGTAATTGAAATAGGCTTTGAACTTGGGATCTATTGATTAGAAGCTATGTTCCATCGCTCCGCTGATATCTATGTACGCTAAAAGTGTTTATTATGTAAATTTGTTTATAAAAGGCTGTTTCAAATAAATCTAAAGACACTATGTTGTGTGATATTTCAATATGTTTTGCATATAAAGTTCATATTGTTTACCAAAGCATCTGTTTTTATATCATTGTTGTCTTTTAATGTAGTGGTTTGGGACTTCAGCCTTATAAAATACTTGGAAGGTAGGTGATTCTATTCGAAAGCCTGCTGTTGCCCCATAAAATTCTGCAGTCCTTAAATAACAAAACGCGATTTCGTTTATTCAGTTGTACTGTTGTATATCAGACTAGATAAAGATGTCAAATCAATTGATGAGTGGGTTGGAATACATATTACATGTGCCCAACCACATAATCTATGGCTGTGTTTGATAGTGTAGGAGCGGGTTAGAATAAAGGTAGAGGCTGTCAAACCATTAATTCATGAAGTCATTAACAGTTGAATTGAGCCTTATAGCTAGGTGCAGAATATCTGGTTAGGGTTTGCTCAGTTGTCGTAACCGTTGGTTAGAGACGTTGGGTGATATAGCTGAGAATCAGTCATAATGGTTCTCATACATTTTCCCTTTAAATTACTTGTACCTTTCATCCTACAAATTCATTCTTTCTTCTCTACTCATATTTTGCATACCTAATCTCTCCCACTGCCATTAATACTGTTACTACATCTATCGCATTTTTCTTGATAATTTCACATTACTGTCCTGATATGGTGTAGCTACCTGGATCAATACACTTGTGTCAAATGCTGCTTTGCTTATGACTTACATATCAGGTCAGATATTCTATATACACAACAGTTAGTTTATTGGTTACTCAATTATGATTAACAAAATTTTAGTATTATGATTTATTGGTATACGTTTAACCGAACTAAATTGAAAACTACATAATAAGTCACTTTTATATTCTGACCGGTTTCGGTGGTAATATTCTGCGATTTAAAAAAACAAACACCAATTAACTTCATTAGCATTCATCCTTTAGCCACACCGTAGGTAGTAAGTACTAGTGATACTATTCGTCTACTCAAACCGAAGTAGGTAGTTTGGATTAGTGAAGCGAATTTAGAAACTTTGATAACTAATATAAACACGTAAATCCATGTACATGGCTATAAACTATTGATATTTGTTTCCAGGTCATAACTGCTCAGATGTTATTCTGTAAGATAAACTTTGAAACCCCACCAATCCATTACCACTAACCTCCATAAGTTGTACTTGATCGCCCCACTTAATCCAACTTTCGAGTGCATGAAATTACTGAATGTCATAAAATCCATGAAGTATAAATACATTTTATTTGATAATTAATCTTTTTACAAACCTAAAATGTATGTCTTTTTTTGTCAAATAAAACTGTGGTTAATTATCTGTATGCTAATCTTGGCTCATCGGTAATAGGTAGAGTCAATTGAAACAATGTATACTATTCATGCTTACTGTTCATTGTTTATTGCTATGATACATGTCACATATATAATTTCTTTTCACCATATTTTAAACGAAAATAAGCGAGAGAGTTTTCTTTCAAAAAGAAAAACAATTGAACACTTCTTTGAAAAACAATGAATGACTTTTAATACTGCACAAAATTTGCTTCTCCATTATTTCCACTCATTTATTTATTTATTTGAACACATAAATATTGGTACAAGAGGGCACCACATATATATGCGCCACACATCCACTCATATTTATCATATGCTTAACAACAGTTTTATTTCTTCATCAAGTCAGCTATTCTAATGTGATTTATAACAACCAAAGTCAAATGAGTTGATTTTCATCGTCTTTATACAACTAAGCGCGGAATTGATTTTTAGAAAAGTTGTATTTTAGGATAGAATGATTTGAAATTAATTTAGAACTCTATGTAAATTAATAAAACTTAAAACTTACTTTTAATGTTATTCACCCTATGGTTCGACTGTACAACGTGAAATGTTACATGGTTTCGAAGTTAAAATTTTTTTTAAAGAAAATTATCTCTTTCATATAGTACTTTGATTCATCTTTTAATGTTAATTCATGATAAGTGTCTTTAAGTTAACCTAATCTAGGAACTTACTCAACTGATTGACATAAATTTGTTTCTACTTTGTGAATTATTAATTAGGCTTAGTAGTTTAAATAAAAGTTAGTTGTTCAAATTAGTTTGACTGTTATACTTTAATGCGTAATCCTAAAATAAAACAATATAACCGTTCACTTCTTTCCAATGTCCCATACTCCTTTTCGAAACCGATGTCAAATATCCTTTAACACAGTTTTTTTAAATTATCAGTAACTATCAGTCTACTAACTAAGAAGAAACATGCTGTAGAATTATATGGGATAATCTTATTTGTTTGAATTACATTCTCTATTCATCCAATCGGATTCAATAAATCTTTACGAAAGTAGGTTTTCATCTGAGAATTCAGTCAAATATATTTAATTACTTATATACCTATATTTACAAAACACAGACGCTATCATTTGACAAAATAAAGACTGTGTATACATGTAGTTGCATATTATTTCAAAACGGTCTACTATAAGTACCAAAAGAACAATGTTTCATGGGTTGCATGTTTTACCTCAGGGTCAATGATAAAGTGATCAATATTTTCAATTATATTTTATATGTATGTTTGTACATAAAAGGTATTATAACTATCATTTTATGTAATCTCATTGATTATTCACACTCTATTTTTTTTACTTATCATGTTCATTAAATTTATATCTGTCCTGACTCTATCTCAATAGCATTATCTGTTTCACGTTTTTATTATTTTTTATAAATCTAAATATTTTGTTTGTTTTTGTTGCTTAAAAGGTGAAATTAATTCAGTATTAAGCAATAAAAATACACATCTAGTACTTCTGTATTCTCTCTGTCTCACCATCATAATTCTAGGACTCTTTGTCAATTCAGAAAGTGTTTAAAATATCAAGTATTGACTTTCCATCATTGTATGCTCGTTTATATTGTTGCATAGTTTCTATACATTAATGTATCCGAATAATATCATTCTTCAAAAGAAAGAATCTAATTATTAAAGCAGTGAAGTATGTGTTACAGTATGATCATCCAACTAATAAGTCCCAGATAAAAAGAAGTGTGCGTCGTGGGTTCTACCGCTAGCCATATTTCATATATATTTTTAAACACCAACTTATTTGTCAGTTTGAATTTTTGAAATACTGTATTTGATTAATCCTCCATTGTTCAAAAAATGTCTCCCTTAACAGTACGACTGTTATATCTTTATACCCGATTATTTATATCACGCGATACAATCGACAGTTAGAGACACCGACTTATACGACCAAACCAATGACGCACGGACCCATACGAGTAGCCTAGAGTTTCTATTGGTTCACCGAGATAATAGCTTCTCTCCTAAACCAGCCGGTCTAGTCCATAACGCCAATGTCAACCTTCGCGATACGAATCATATATTTCAGAAATACTGAGTTTATATATAAACAAACCAGACCGCGTCATACCATAAATAGAAAATAACAATTATACAAGGATCAAACCAAAAGGTGACCGTGGTTGTGAGACACTTGTTATGACTTTGAGTTGTGGTTGACTTTTACCCTGTGCTAATTGTTGTGTCCTTGACTGGAAAATTAGAGAGCAGCGTACTTATCGATCGATTCAATGACACGTAAACACGTACGGACGGCCTAGAGTCTCGATTGGTCTCACTTCCCTGTCTAGCCCAGTCAGTTGCGTCCAGAACACAAGTCACAGCCTCGGAGATATGAATCACTATATTTCAAACATACTTTGTTTATATACCAATCAAGCATACCACATCGTACCATAAAATAGAAAACAACATTTTGTACAATATTCAACAAGTGAACAGATACCGACCAATAGGAAATGTCCATTTAAAGTCCAAGGACACCATTGGACTTAACATGATAATTATTGGTCTATTCTTCCGCATCCACAACAACACTGTTACTAAGAAATTGGTAATAACTCAAGAACGATAAATCGTATGATAATAGTCAATAGGAATTCATCTCTGTATAATTCTTCACACAAAAGCGTAAATTTAAAACAACTGTTCATTGAATAAAGTATACAATACTTACCTAGACATCTTTACCTGAATACTGATAATTTATGTACTTTTCGTTTATTTATTTATTTCAAAAACGTTCACTGACTATGATGCGCATTTTGTGGTCCTTGAAGAGTAAATAGATTGTTGTTAAGCACCAGATTATCAAGTACCGGCTCAAAAAGTTTTGAATATACAGCGTTACGTGCATAGTATTTTCTACAAAATCCGTGGTCATTACATTCATGTACTGCCACTTTGCTATGACACCATTTACGACCTAGTCAACCAGCTATAAAACTGAATATTTAAATATCTCATCGAAATAAACATTCAACGAAACTATGACTTTTTGAACTGTACCATATGTGAAGGTGAGAACTTTCCGTTGGGAATCCATGTGATAAGTGTAGCCAATTGTTCGAGATGTTGAGTGAAAATAGCTCAAAACCAGCCACAGAGGAATAAATTCATTTATTCTTTGTTTTTAAATCTTGAGTTTTGGTATCATTTTAAACTTTTATTCCGGTCATTCATTCCTGCTTCTCTTTCACAGTCATAGACATTACTATCACTTTTACTTCTATACTATTCACCTTGTTAATTTCGTTTATATAGTGTATATATAGTGTAGCTATTCGAGCCATTGAACATTTTTGACAAGTTCTACAATTTTTAAACCCAATAACATTCCATTTAATGATAAATATTTTACATGTAACCATAGGTCAATCAAACAAATGATAGAAAGTACAAGGAAGCGAAAAAATCCATGGTACTAGCACCACCATTGGATTCGAAAATAGATTAGACTGATAATTCTTTATGTATCATGCATTCACCTAGAATTTTATATAGATTATTATTATTTTTTCCTCAGGAATCCCATGGTCATGGTCAAACAATATCTGTACCTGATGAACATGATGGTTGTTTATCATCACCAAAACAACAAAATAAATCTCTACTTATATCTCCGAATTGTGAACAACGATTCGATTTTGTCATTGACACTCAACAGAAAGAAGTAATAAATAATAGTGAAGCTGTTGCTGTAAATGAGAAAGCATCTGACGGCCTCACATTATCCGATAAACAGGACAATCTTAGCCCGGGACCAGAAGATGATGACGGTGAGGTTGATGAGGAAGATGATGATGATGATGATGATGATAAAGATGAAGACGATGATAACGAAGATGATGATGACGACGATGATGAAAAGCGTGTGGTAGAACCGGTTGAACGCTATGAACCGCAAACAGTCCATGTTAATCCACCAGAACGTGCACCAAGCCATCCAGCTTTATTTACACACTGTCAGTATTTGTATGTGGGAGCCGGCCGTTGGCAAGTTTATGTCCAAATGTGGTTTGTTGAAGATCGTTTAAAAAGGGAGGTAAGATGTATGTGACACCATATTTTACAAAACATATAGTGTATATACTTTCATAAGTTTATGTATGTATGATTTCACACAGAAAAAACTAGTATTCATAATCATTATCATTAGGTCGTTTATTATCCAATTGAATGAAACTCATGACTCTCTTTAGCTTACCAAAAATAGTAAGGGTAATGAAATGTGTCACTGATGGCACATAGTTCATGTTGAACAAATTTAACTAGCGTCATTTTTTAATGCATTAGTTTTAGATAAATGTTAGTACTTGCCAATTTTGTAAAACTCGTCCCGTTTCAAAATCATACATAGACTCTCTGAGTTTCTCATATAAATTCATCTTCTCCTCTGGTTTAATTAATTTCCTAGTACACACGGTTTCCTAATGAAACTTTGGGGCATCTATTTAAAAGCAGTTCATTAGTTAGCATCGAAACTATTGTTCGGTGTGAAAATATTCTTGATTTTTGATTAATATCAACTGCGAAGCAAGGGACCAATATGCACATTTGTTTTGCCTCATTTTGGGATTGTGCAATATTACGCGTGCTCGGTATCGTACAGTGTTGGAAGCACTTCTCTACGAAGCTGTACTGAAGATGAAAACTGAACTAACATCAAATCCACAACAACGTAAAGTCGAGCTGTCATTATAATAAATTATATATATATATATATATATACAAAGAGAGTGACTTACAAATGGTAAACGTCGTCTACTTCGTCCACCACATATGTTCAGGAAACGCTCAATTTATACTATAAAATTAAATGGCTTTATGCTGCAGTGTGCACATGACTTTATAAATAATTTATTAAAATAATCTTGGTGCTTCTTTTTGAAGGTGTGTTAAGTATATTTTAAATGGGATCTTTCATACATCCTGATCCCTTGGTAAATTTAAACAAACCTAAAAGAACAAGATTAGCAGAATAAAGTCGGTTTCGTGACTATATATCATGACTTCTCATCAGCTACTAACGGTGTAAAGTTACAATAATTCTAAACAAAGTTATACATACTCTAATATTCTACATCGGTATACATAGAGGATCAATTTAGTTGTTATTTTATAGTTTCACTGAATCTTTTAAACTCAAATTCATTCATCACTTTCAACAAACAACAATCATTGTCGAAGTTCATTTAAACCATATACCACCACAAGTTAGGTCACCACTGGAAACCTCGACGGCCGTTTCGTCCCAGTATGTGACTTCTCAGCAGCGCGCGTCCACGGTCCTGTACACTTGGATTGAACCCAGGGCCTTCGATTTCGTACGCGAACCCTTAATCTCTACACCTCTGACTCGGCATCCAACAATGTTAGTGTTTAATTCCAATCAATCCAGTAGTGGTCTAACTTAGATCAGTTCATAATTTCATGGAAATTCGACGATCTCTACAACGCCATTCTGAAGACGTTGTATTTATTTGATTCTAAGTAATATTGATAGTATTTTTGCATCTATTCTCTTTTTCTACAGACTTATGTACAAGTATTTGATAATGAATGGCATGATTATGAACGTGTTGCTGATCTGTTCGAAGCTTCACGGTGCTTGAATCCGGTCGATCGTTCTAATCTTGTAAGATTGCTTGCCTTAGCAAGACATAACTGTGCTCTTATCGATGGTGAACTTCAATTTCCTGGGTAAATTATTCAATTCGATCAATTAATATATATTAAATTGTGTATGCTATTATCATTGAAATCGTTTGACAGTTTTTATTTTGAAAGTTTTGTATTTACGTTGTATAACATTGAATCATACAATTAAAGAGTAGTCATATGAAGATAGGTAAGAAATATAATTTTACAACAATTGATATTACAGTCAATCACTCACGAGTTAGAACCTGTACTTATGCACATCGGTTCAAGTTGCCATACCCAGTTAGCACAGAGGGATCAAGTTATCAGGTCAAATTCCAGAATAGTAAAGGTAGTAGTAGTATGAGAGGTAACAGCAAAGATTAGGAATCGGAGATACGACTCGTAACGAAAGTATAAATTAGCGAAATAAAAACAAAATAAGTTATGAGGAATTTAGAATTTCAGGATTTGGGGAGAAGACAAAGAATGGGTGCGCCTGCATCGTTGCAAACGATTTTGAGCCATGTCTCTAACCAGTGGTTACGGTAATCACGCGAGCCTCAACCAGGTAGTTTGTGCCTATTAACATAGCTAAGTCCAATTGTCAGTGGCTTCATAGATTGATGCCATGTTTTGGCTTGACAGCTCATTGCTTTTTACTATCCTGCTCCTGCATCAGAAAACATCGCCCGTCAAGGTAGGTGGTGATTGGGCTACGTAACACATGTCCCAACCTATTCAGTTGATAAAGATTTACTATCTCATCAATCGGTTTCCCCTCTTTACCTAGTACTATATTCCTAATCTAGTGATTGATTACTCTACCGTCCCAAAATACTCCTGCAATATTTTTAATAGACACCTATGATCAAATACCAGTAAACTACGAATATCTTCTACTCTTCATAGCTATGTTTCACATCCATAAAGTAGAATGGATCGAACTGCTGCGCAGTAAACTCGTCTTTTGGCTAGAAGACGGGACAGAGTTGTGCTGTGTAGTTTAAATGGTCATTATGGGAAAAGGTGGCATGGGTTGTAGACATTTTTATAAAGGTTCATATTCATATATATTTTGACGAATTCACGAGTAGTATGACATTTTCTATCATTGATATAGGTTCTTTATGGGGATGAGAAACCATTCGCTTCAGTTCGAATATACCCTATTCACCTTCTCTTCTCCCTACCTTCTAGTAATAAAAAATACAGATCGTGCTCTTAACATTCACTGAGACAAAAACAAAATGAATGAGTTAAGCAGGCACCTATCGGATATAAAAACGTATTTACAACATCTATGGCAGTAAAATAAAAATTCATCATATTAAAAGAGCAACGAACTAACAGGAGAAAAACCATAATAAAATGAGGATGAAGAGGAATACTGTTGACAATGACAATAGGACTGAGCTCAATGCCACCGTGGTATAGAACAATCCACCCGATGCTGAAGTTATTTGAAATTGTCAACTCAAACCTTGGTACTGACATCTACGTGGTATAGAAATTTACTTGTTAGGAATGCAAGACAACTTGAACTCCGGTATTATGACTTTCATTCCCTTATCAAAATGTTTTTCAGCTAGAAGAATATTTCGAATTTCTTTTTGGATAAAATCACTTGTGTAGTTAACTATAGAGCAAGACGATAACCGTAGTGTACATACTAATCTGATAATCCTAAAAACGTCGAACATTTGTTCTGTTCGGGATTTCAGTTAGTACTCATGTGATAATGTAACGGATAATCGATATTCAGTATTCACTTATAATAAGAGAAGATTAATCCTTGTTCGAAAACTCTCTATCTCAAGTTAAGTTGTACAGAGCTTCTAGTTTTCCAAAGAACAATATATAATGATGCAGATTTTATATATAATCTTCATTTGTTCTACTATTCTAGTCCAATAGCATCTAGGCAGAGCAATTTCGACGCGCTTGAACTGCACGAAAAACTTGTTGCGCTTCACCTTCATCAACAAGCAAAAGAACGTTTAACATCTAGAGATTCAGGGTTTGCTAAAAGTTCAATACATTCATCTTCAGCTACACCGAATAATGAAAATGGACATACAGTCTCGAGTAATCATGATCAAGTATGTTTGTTATTTTTCAGTTAACTTACTTATGAATCATGGCATTTTAATAAAAGTGAAACAGTAGACAACTGAAACTTCTTACAATTTACTTTCTTATTGATTATGACATAATTAATTACTTATATAAGTAACAAAAACTTCAAACACACATTTTTGTACTTGGATTAATAGTCAGTAAATGAAAAAATATATTTGTTAGATAAGTTATTTCATACAGATTGTATTAAGTGAATAAATTGTTTTGAATTTACGGTTAGCGTACATTTTTTACTTTTTATGAAAATGATGTACATCATAATCTTGTCACTGTAATTATCAGGGAGGATCATTTCTCCTAAACACAACTGATAAAGTGTCCAGTTAGTCATGAACAACATAGAACTTGATACATATATGTGCATCAGTCCAAGCTAGTACACGAAATCAGCACAGAAAGATGAAGTTATCAAGACAAACATTATGATGGTAGAAGTAGTAAGAGAATCAGTATCAGCAGAAAAGATTGGTCATAAACAATATGATTCTAAAAAAGGAACGAATCCACAAAATAAAAATTATCAAATAACTTTTAAACTCAAGATCTAAAGAAGGACAAAGAGTGTATAAATCTGTTCGATTGTGGCCAATTATGTGCCATATCATTCAACGTCTCCAACCATTATTGGTTATGATAATCACGGGGATCCCAATCAGATAGTTTGAAATTTTAGTGTTACCACTAAAATTTATGATAAAAAGTTTTGTTGGCGGCAGATATGGGTACATTTATTTTGATTTATGTTGTTCACATGCATGTAAATGACAAAAAGATGACAATAAAGTTTTTAATATGTAGTTCTTCATTGTTAACATCACTACTGCTATTCTTGACAGTGGATTTTAAATACTTGTATATAATCTTATGCATTCAATTCCTTAAAAGAAACAATATTCTACCAGGATAGATAGCAAAATACTAAGAAATAGTTTATACACTACCAGTGAATTGGATTTCAGGTAATTTTTAGAAAATTATAATATTTGTTAAATCCAAAGTTTAAATTTTTTGTTTGAATGCTTTTTCAACATGATTAATTAATAAAAAGTCATTTCATCCAAAATTATTTTAATTACGTCTATATTAAATTCTTTTTGCTAAAATGCATAGTTTGAATAATCCATTATCTCTAGCTTTGTATATGATGTATACCTCTTCTTATTGTAAATCAAATTACTCTTCTTATCATTCTATCGTCTACATATTTTTTTTGTCTCTATTTTCTATTTGTATTTTATTTACATAGAATTTAGGTGACATTCGATCGATAGATTACCAAAATCATATACCAATTTCAAATGAAGTACAAGCCTGTGCTGAGCATATTACACAGGTTCAATTGCATCAACGTGCAGATCAAACGCAAGATCGTATGTTTAATTTATACTTTTCTCGTATTTCATCAACTTAATTAAACTTTCTTTAAATAAATTTTTAATTATTTCAATCCATTACAGTAAATTGATTATAAATAAAATGTTTTATTAATTATTAACCTCATTCATTTTCGAGTATATTCCTCCTATATGCATTGTTCATCAAAATATCAACGTTTATGTACCAATTATTCAGTGATATGTGTAAACACTTGGAATGTTGTAGTCATTTACTCGATAATTAGCATAAATCATATTTAATCAGTAGTGTATACACTTGCCACTCAACCATTTGGTAATTGATCTTAACAAATAGAATATATCAGTTATCCGCTTATAATACATGTAGCTCTTAGTTCAATGCATTTGAACTTGGATAGTTTATTATTCTGTCTACTTTGTCTGCCATGTATTACACCATTGGTGCAAATATGGTTCAATTACTTTTATTCAAAAGTCGATTACTATATCTCAGCATTGTGTCTTACGAAATTTTAATGATAATGCTTACTCAATAATTCTTCAGCGATATTTATCCGTACACAGAACTATTATAATTCAATAAATTTCATTGATCATATGTACTTGCTTACTGATAATAACTTTGTAAATAATAGTGGTCAAGAACGCACATAAAATATTTTCCAAGTGACCTACATAAAAATTTAGTCACAGATTTCAAACCATTGTTATCGTTGGTATTCACACGTATAAATCTTATAGCCTAGATCATAAAATCGGGTAATAATTATTGAGTTGAATTAATAATACATATGTATTAATGGGTGATGTACTTTCCAAAACTGTAACCATATATTTCTGGTTAGTAACATTAGTTATATTTGATGCAAATATTGCACAAATTGTTGTAAAACAAGTTATCCTCAAATCATCTATTAATAGCTAAAATACTTGCAGATAATCTTGTGTTCAGGCGTTACCGATTAGCGCAAATCAGAAAGCTGATTTCCCACCATCCCCATTAGATGAGCTAAAATATCAAACTATGGAGAATTTCACGTCTTGGTTTAGTCAACTAGCTGTTTGAAATATTAATTACTAGAGGTGTTGTAGCGTTGTTATATTCAAATGTATAGAGTAAGTTGTCGGTAATGATATATAAATCACCTTTTTTCTGTAACAGTACAGCAATAATTGGTTTACACAAAACCTACCAGCTGACTGCTTACAAACAACTACACGAGTTTTCATTAATTTTACTTAATTAAATATATTTTAAATGGTATGTACTCTTTGTATACATCAGTAAAGTTATGACACCTATTTCATTACAGCATTGTTACGGAATTGAAAAATGTAACAGTTTATTTTTCATTAATTAATCACAGCCCCAACTCCATGTCCTGTATCAGTTGGTTTATCTGATATAGATGGGACAAAAGAGAATCAAGATCCAGGGAAACAACAAAAAGTTAAAAATGATCCGAACAGTGCACTTTTTCTGGATGTCAGTTCACTTGCTCCTCGTAATTCATATTGTGCTTTATGTGATACGCATGATTATCTACATCAAATTCATTTACCGGCTTATTTAATCTCTCCCTGCTATCATTGCCGTGAGTTTCTTGCAAATGAAGCTAAAATTACTCCTGAAATTCTCCTAGACTTACATTTACAAGTAAGTAATTTTAATTATTAATTTATATCACTCACTCAATCGTTTGTAATATGTGGTGATTAAATTATATTAGTTTACAACTAATTGTTATATCTATCATAATGCTATGTTAATCAATATAGAATTCGTCCAACTGTTTATACGAGCATTCAGGGGTGATCAAATTATCTTTTTAGAATAGATATCATTCGGTTTTAGTATTACTTTTTGCATAGTGCTATAAATGTCCTTCGAATAACTCTCCTAGCCTTTTTTGGAGTATTAATGATCGTTTAACTTAATGACTCGATATGATACACAGTATAAGAATGTTATGAAAGCTCTATTCAATGGCTTACACATTTTGTATACCTTTTTACATACTGAAGTTTAGGAATAAATATTAAATTGAAAATTCTCTTGTATGACCCATCCATAAAATTTACTTTTTTTATGTAGCATAACATTCCTTGGCCAGGATTCCTGCAAGCTAGATTTGGTATCCCTAATGATGGTCGGTCAACTGAAGAACTAATTGCTTATGACTGCCGTTGGCGGAGCAGACAACCTTGTCGATGTTTAGCTTCTGTAGATGGTTCCTTATTACCACCCTGTGTCGAATTTCCATGGTTAACTCCTGCAGTTTCGACAGGTTCATTCGAAGTTACTGATATATCAGCAAATCAAAGCAAATTAGACAAACAAGATTCATTAAATACACAAGTGGTTGTAGAGATTTCTTCACCCACCACTACAGATCCGCGTACTTCTGATTTTCTGCAACGACACGTAAGCTATTTGATTTTATTAATAATTATGGATTTAACTTAATTTATGCTACATGAAGCAATCTCAAATATGTATTTTTTTATTACAGAAGCACAAACTAATGCAGCAAATCAATCGTTGCCTACCCCACCACAACCTCGGTGAGTACAAGTAACACGTCAGTTGCGGGAAATACTAATACATGTTTAAAATCAATTTTGCCATGTTCAAATAGGCATATGCGCGGTGCTCCCATTACCTGCTGTCATGGCATACATTTTCCTTTAGTTGGCATACCAACCGTGTCAACTTCATCTACCAATCAAAATACAGATACTGGCTGTATCCCGTCTATTGATTCTTTTAATCCACAATCAACGACCGATAGAGGATCAGTTGTTATAACTCAAGAGATGCAACAAGCAGCACCGTTAACAAACGACGTATCATCTTAATATTGTAATTTTTATTATTATCATTATCCACAATCATTTCGTAAATGTGATTCGAAAATTGTGCAATATACAATTGTGTGCATATATAGCTACCTATCTTTTGAATAGTAACAATCTCAGAATCTCATTATAAAATAATGTTAAAATCTAGCACACATCTCTACTATAATTACGGCACTAGTCTTTGTAATACTGTCAAACATTATTTGCCTTTCAAAACAAAAAAAAGATGGAAATAAATTGTTACCTATAGTTAACTGTAATTTTGTGGTTTATACTTTTTTAATTAATTTTTTCGTCGCTTTAGCTATACACTTATTTGTATTGTTAATATATATTACACAACATAAGACGTATCAGATGGTGTTTGCAGTATCTATTTTCGAAATAAAGAAAAACAATTTGATAACAAATAAAAGTAAACAGATAAAAATTGTTTGTAAAAACAATTCAGAGTATACTGAATGCATAAAAGTCCATGCATGATAATACTATTAATGCGATGATAGTCCATTTGATGCGGAGTTGGGTCTATACGAATATATAGTTTTTATAAAATTAGCAATTTCTATCGAAAAAATGTCCTGTTTTTCAATCGAGATATGGTAGAAGCTCTCAACTTCCGTACTTTTTTCAATGATTTATCCCGAATGGTTGATAAATTCGTTTGTGACAGACTAGGATGTCGCAAACTAAGGCATATTTCTAGATTATAAAAAGCCACAATAAATAAACATTAAAAAAACTAGTCAAAATTAATAATCAAATATATACGAACGAGGCAGGCAATTATGACTAATAAGTTAGGATTTCTATCCAATAGGTAATTTCTGTATGGAATATGAAGAACTTGTCAGTTAATGTTTCGGATGCGTTCTTGTTTTTCTAAATGCAAAATGTTGCTTCAGGATCAGTTTGCTTCAAAGTCTAAACTAGTGATAAGGTGTAAAGTAGTTGAGCCCCTCGATCACGCCATTTGCTTTGCAAGTCTCATCAGTCCTGGTGTTTTAGTGTCCGACAAGAGCTCTATTGGTTTTTGCCAACTTGTGGTGTTGACGAGATATCTATTTATCTACCAACCGTAGAACAATTCTAATGTTCAGCAGTTCGCTCTATTTTACTATAGGGCTATGAAACAACCCTTAGAGATAGAAGATATTCGGAGGTTCCTAATATCAGACCACAGATCTTTTCGAATCCTTACCGAGGTCATCGAGTAAGCACTTTTGAGGTTAGACACATGGCACTGGGTAAGAATGGAAAATCAGTTGATGAAATAGTGGATATTTGTCGACTGAATTAGTCGGGCCGTGCTTGATGTATACCCTAACTTCGCATACCTTGACCCTCGATGTCTGGTGGTGTAGAAGTTGGAAGAATGCTAAAGGCAGTCGAACTAAGACGTAGCATCAGTCCACAGAGTCATTGACAGTTGAATCGAGCCTTATAAGCTAGTTACGGACTACTGGGTTGGAGACGTTACGTGATATAACGAAGAATCACTCACATGGCACAAATAGGTTTTCTCCAAATACCTCTTATTTGAGATTACTTGTACTTTTCATCCTAAAAATTCATTATTTCTTTTCTAATCATACTTTGAAGGCCTAATTTTTCACACCGCCACTACATCTATAGCATTTGTCTTAATAGTTTCATATAGCTGTGACAATATAATGTGGTAACTTGAACTGGTGCACATATGACAGGTTCTACAATGCACATGACTAACCGACTTTTCGTTTTTGAACTTCTCGACCCTAACTAATTTGGTTCAACAGTAATCATTCTCAGACGGATATGAACTACATTGTGACGTGACATTTTTTTGTTGAAGTCCTATATTAAACAAGTTGAATGCAGATTGATGAAACTAGAATCAACAGATTTAGGTTTGAGTACGAAGTATAATCAAACGTAATAGGGTATGAAGAATTAAGGTCCAGCATTCGGATGATCGGTGATGTTAACTCCCTCAACTACAAAAACAGGACGGTTACGAAAATAATAATTATACTGTCTCTTTTCATTTGAGCCTAACTTATAATTGTAAATATAATATTTTATCTATAAAAATCTGTGATGTTCTTAAAGCTAATAATGAATTGTCATTTTTATCTGGTAAATTAGTTTTTTTTATAAGCCATTCATAGATGAAGAAATAACCAATCTTGTTGATGATGACAGTTTAACAGCATATAGGAGCTTAGATATCAAGCCAATGTGTAATATCTTTTTGTTTGTACAAATACAATCCTAATCCTGGATTTCCCTTTTTTTTGGTAAGATATATTCTACGTAACTTTTCTTCATAGGAGCTGTAGATTATAACCTTTTCCGATATTTGAAGATAATGGAATCTAGATCGTAGTATCAACCATCTAAAGGTATTTATAACTATCAAAAATTCCCCTACATTAACTGTGACTGACACCATGAGTTTGAAAAATACTTTGATGGACTGAATTTATTAATGACAGAAACTTACGTTTGAATTTACTTTCGAGGGTTCTTCGGCTAGATGATCTTGCTCGATGCCTACAAAAAACAAAACGTATACACTAACAAATGTTACTGCAAATACTAAGCATTAGGTTGAAAATGTCAAACTACTTGATTTTTTATTGATCAGTTAGTAACAATTATATGATAATATTGGATCATAAGTAGAATATTTTTTTATCAAGTTAAAAAAAATAATTTGGCTTAGGTATTCTATTTGAAGACCGTTTGAAATAAATAAAATTATATGAACGAAGAATATTCTTTTCTACAATTATATATCCAAATTACTAACCCGTAAAATTGGCCAGGTTTAAGGCAGAGTACATCATGCTATAACTTGAAATGATGCACTCTTAAAGGCAGAGTACATCATGCTATAACTTTAAATGATGTACTCTGCCTTAAACCTGGCCAATTTTATGGATTAATAATTTAGCTATATAATTGTAGAACCTGATGAGAAATTATTGAAGAAAATATTCTTCGTTCATATAGTCATGCTTTAATATAATGGGAATTTTTCAGCTATTAAAATGAGTAGTTGGTTTACGATGTGAAACGTATTCGGATCGCCACCCACTTCCAAAATCGTGTATGAATGAATGTGCTCGCAACATACAGAAACTGTCTGTTGGGTAGTAACCTAAGGATTGTCTAACGCGAGTACGTTATCTGTGAAGTTCTTAAATTCGTCTTTTAAAACATATTTTAAGATTTTGGAATGAACACGTGGTTGCAGATATACTTTCTGATAGGTGTCAACAAGTATGAAATGACTTGAAGAGTATAAAATAAATCACTGAATGTGTTAAACACGAAATAGTTCACAATGGTTTTTGAGCTGTCATTAACGTAAGTATAGCAAAACTTGGAAGATTATTTTCCTTATGGGATTAGGACCTGCAACACTAGATTTTGTGATCAGAAACGTTGCCACTGAAGTACTCAACTTATCGGCAGCCTACTGGACGCTTATTTCTTAGTACTAATTAAGTCAGTCAGTCAGCTACAACGTAGGACCAGGCACATGTATGCATCGGCCCAGGTTGCCATACCTCATTAGCACAGCAAGATGAACACTGGATTCATAGGAGTGGTTAGGTCAAAGGTGGTAATATATAGGAGAAAGATTGCAATAAGGATATAGTATAGGAAGAAAGAATTAGTTCGTAGAAAGAAAGATGTGAAGTGATCTTAATCTCTTAGTTTAAGAGAAGACAGAGAGTGTATACACCGACGCCATTGTGATCGATTCTGAGCCATGTCACCAAGGGTCTCCAACCATTGGTTACGAAAGTCACGCGGACCCCAACCAAGTAGTCTGCATCTACCAACATGGCTCAGACTAGAAGTTAGTGACTTCAGGCACTGATGCCACGTTTTGGTTTGGCCGCCCCTAACTTTCTTCCAACCATCCCCTACACCGGTTAGCATTGCACGTCGCGGTAATCGGTGTTCAGGCATACGTAATACGTGGCCCAACCATCTCAGTCGATGAAGATTCATAACCTCATCAACTGATTTACCATCATTCCCTAATACCCTGCGTCTAACCTCACTATTACTTACCCGGTGATCCCAGCAGATGCCAGCAATATTTCTAAGGCATCTGTGGTCAAATACTAGTAGCTTACGGGTGTCTTCTACTCTTAAGGGCCATGTTTCGCTGCCGTAAATTAAAACAGAACGGACAGCCGCGCAGTATACTCGTCCTTTTATTGATAGACGGATATCTCGCCTCCGCCAAAGGTGACGTAAGTTGGCAAAAGCCAAACGAGCTTTACGAATCCGTGCTGAGATTTCGTCAGACACCAACCCATTAGGGCTGATCAGACTTCCAAGATAAGTGAAGTTGTCAACACGTTCGACTACTTCACTCCCTATCCTTAGTTCAGGTGTTGACGCAGACCAGTCCTGAAGCAACAACTTGCATTTAGAGGGAGAGAAGCGCATCCCAAACATTCTGGCATTGTTGCTTAGTGCTACCAGAAGACTCTGCATTTTGTCAGCGTCTTCACCAAACAGGACTATGTCATCTGCATATTCTAAGTCGATAAGTGGACCTCCTGGAAGGAGATCAATACCCGAGAATTCAGTCGACGAGAGTGTTATTTCCATCAATAGGTCTATGATGAAGTTAAACAAAAATGGAGAAAGTGGGCAGCCTTGACGGACACCACTTGAGGTTGTAAAGGTAGATGACAGTTCGCCATAAGCCCTGACTCGACTAGTAGTGTTCGAGTAAAGAGCCTTCACAAGGTTTATGTACTTCTGAGGTACGCCTTTCAATGACAGACACTGCCACAGAGTCTCGCGGTCTACAGAGTCAAATGCTGCTTTTAAGTCAAGAAAGACCACCATCGTCGGACGCCGATAGGTATGCCTGTGTTCTAGAACCTGACGAATGGTGAATATGTGGTCGATGCAGCCACGACCAGGTCTAAAGCCAGCTTGGTTCTCTCGTGTTTGTAGTTCACGAGTCTTAGTTAGGCGTT